TTGTTTAACAATTTTGGTAGTTTTTTTAGCATTCCACAATTGTTTTGTGATTGTTCTATATATGGAACTTAAGTCATTTATAATAAAGCTCTTAAACTCTTGGTTATTTGTAATCTCTCTTGAGCAATTGAAGTAAATTCTTGAGTCCTTAGCTTATTACTTTCACTTTGCTTTTAAGTTCAAGACCAAGATGAGAGGAGAGAGAAACATTTTTTAGATAAAGAAAATACCCCTAGAACTCCAAAATTCCTACCTTAGGATTCCCAACTTCCAATCCCATACTCCCTAGTACTTCTAGCTTCCATACACCTTAGAACCTATAGCTTCCAATCCTACTCCATACTCCCTATAACCAACCTTAGCTATCCTACTCCTAACCCTACACCATACACCATAATGCACTATACACCGTAGTATCCTATATGTTTTAGTTAGCATTTACCTCACCCAATCCCATACGCCCTAGTTCCTATGCACCATACCTCAACCAACCCACCTAAGCCATACACCTAGACCTTAGACCCTAACCTTAACCCAAGACCTCTCTCTCATGTGCATACAAAGAGACCGATGGATGTGCATCTATGCTCAAGCTTGTTCTAGGTTCACTCTCTCTCCTCGCTTTTCTCTCTCTCCCTATCTTCTTCTCTCTTTTTCTCATTTTCTTACTCTTCTTTATCTTGTTCTCTCTCTTTTTTCTCTCTTCTTTCTTTCATTCCCTCTCTTCTTGATCTCTTTCTCTCTCTTATTTCTTTATATCTCTTCTCTCTCTCTCTCAGACCCAGGGTAGGTCCGAGTACCTTCTCGTCCCCTCTCTCTCACTCTCTTTTACTCCCCATTTCTCTCTCTCGTCTAAACCCAGACCCGTGCTTGGGGTGGGCCTGGCCCTCCCCTCTCCCTATTTCTCTCTCACCCCTCTCCTCCTAGACGCACGGACCCGCACCTTGGGCGGGTCCAGCTCCCCCTCTCTCTTTTCTCTCTCTTTATTGTCTCTCTCTCTCACTCCCCATTAGTTGATAGCCCCGCAACATAGGCGGGTCCATCTCTCCCCTCTATATTATCTTTATCGTCTCTCTCTCACTCCCCCATTAGTTGACAGATCTACACTATAGGCGGGTGTCACGACCCCGCTCCCTGCTGACCCCCACAGAGGGCCAGCCCCAGGCCCGCGCGGAGGGCCGTAGGGTGTGGGGCCACATGTGAGTCTGTCTCTTTTCGCTCTACTCTCTCATTTCATCCACTTTCTCTGTTCCCATCTCATTAATTATTCTCTCTCACTCTCTTACTCCATTCTCTCTAAACTCATTTATCTTTATCTACTCTCTCTCATTCATATTATCCATCTCTCATCTCTCACACACTCACTTCTCATTCATCTTTCATTTTGTTTTATCATTCTTTCTTCCTCTCTCATGTCTTATTTTCATTACTTCTTCGTTCTTTTTCTTACTCATCTTTTCGCTCATCCGTGAACATTTGATGTTGGGTCATCTTGAGATAGTGCCCTAGGTTTCTAACTCTCTGATTGTTACTTTAACCATCAGTTCGTACAGTGAAGTCGGATAATAAGAAACACTGATTTTACTGCACTTGGTCACTTGGGCTGGGGTCATCATAAGTTAGCTTTCTTTAGAGTTCTGACCCTTTCACATAGTGTTCAGGTTGTGAGATGTTATCATATATTTCATTTTTTCTCTCTCTCTCACTTTTTTCTCTCCCTCAATCACATTTAGGGGGCTCTTTGGTTTAGTGACATAGTTATAATATCTGTCATATAACTCCACTTTCCAAATCCTCTGGGTACCAAAGCTTCATGCCTGGTACTTTTACTTGTCTCTGGTAATAGCTCTTGAGAGAGGGTACCCCAGGAGGCTGCTCAATTTTCTTTGGGTCATCCCTTGCTTCATTTATTTATTTTTCTTCTTCTTCTTCTCATCTCTAAATCAAATTCTTATCAATCTCCTCTTATTCTTGTCCAACACTCTACCCCCAAACTATGACCATTAACTCATAAAGCACATCAAAGAGGAGTTTACTTTAATTGGATTTCATGAGCAGTTTTCAAGTGAGAGTCCAGGTGAGGTGTTGAGTTTAGAGAGGGGGCCGCATTCAAACCATATTGCTGAACAACCGGAGGGCTTTCGTTCATTGATCTAAGAGGGCAATAGCCCAAGCTTATCCTACAAACTCAAACCGCATGGAGGTAGGTGCTCGAGTCCATTTATTTATCGCTTTAAAATCCTCTCATAGTTGGATATACCTATCTGCACACGACACACGAGCCGTACACGCGCTCATGAGGTCAAGCGATCGTTTGAGAGGGGATCAATCGAACCTGAGTCCCCAAGGCAGCCCAGGCAAGGTAGATCCAGGCCCAACTAGTCACATGACTCTCTCTCTCTCTCTCTCTCTCTCTTTGCTAACGCTCTCTCTTTCTCAAAGTAAATCTCACTCTCACTTTCTCTCTCATTCTATTTCTTTTTCTATCTCTCTCATCTCTCTGTCTTTCTTTTTCTCTATCTACCCTCTCTCTAGCTATAGACTAAGATTTTGTGGTCCTCTACCTAGTGTGCCGAATCCATTAGAATTTAGGTTAAGGTTGATAATGCGGTCTGTCACAAAAATGTATCGAACTGAAAAAAAAATTCAGTCTAGCACTGTGGGTGTCGGACCGTATTACAAGCTTGAGAAAAGCTCACTGGAACTCAATGCAATTTGGCACACATGGTGCCGGACCACATTACAAGCACCGCATTACAAGCAAAGAGTGTTGACAGAGAGAGAGAGAGTCACGTGACTCCAAAATAGAGGAGAAGAGAGTAAATACATTTTTGTCCTAAATCCATTGATTTTTTTACTTGATGGTAAATATAAAGAAAAACAATATTGAGGTTTAATGTGGGATGCAAAAAGTATGAGAGGTAGGATGTTCATAAAGTTGATTTTGGGAGGATATCTATAATTTTTCCAAAATTCAAACTCACTCTACATGTGCTCGAAAAACTAATGGCTTAAGATTTGTTAAGATACACGATATTGGAAAGCTGCAAATATTTTCATTGAGAGATAGTGGTGTTTAAATACAAATTGTAATAACATGGGTGAACGACTAATCCCTCGATTGTAGGGACTTTCCTAACAATATGGATATGGGTGATTATCCACATAGTTTACAATAGATATATACGATTAGGAGGTTGAGTATTCATTAGCTGATGTGGTCGGCCATATCGTGATACTCCCCCTCAAGCTGAAGGGTGAGTGTGAAGAACACCCAGCTTGCTTAATAGAAAATGAAATTGAGCATTGTCGAGTACCCTAGTCAAAATATCTGCAAGTTGAAGTTTGGTGGAGATATGAGAAGTACGGATTAGCCCATTTTGGATATTTTCTCTTATGAGATGGCAATCGATCTCAATATGTTTCATTCTCTCGTGCAAAACTGGATTTGTAGCGATGTGAAAAACTGCCTGATTGTCACAATAGAGATTCACTGGCTGAGGATGATCGATCCCCAAATCGGAAAATAATTTTTTCATCCACGTTAACTCACAGGCAATGGTTGCCATGGAACGGTATCCAGCCACTGTCGATGAATGTGAGACAATAGATTGTTTCTTCGTTCGCCACGACATTGGGCTGGTCCCAAGATAAGTAATGTAACCTGTTGTGGAGCATCGCGTAGTTGGACATCTAGCCCAATCATAATTACAATAGGTCGATATTTGTAATGAGTTGTCTGAGGACAAAATGAGTCCTTGGCTAGGTGTCCCTTGAAGGTAATATAGAATTCTTTATGTAGCTGAAGGTGAGGCTCTCGGGGCTGGTGCATATATTGGCTAAGAGTGCGAACCGCAAATTAATGTCGAGACGAGTGATAGTGAGGCAGATTAGCCGCCCAACGAATCTTCTGTATGACTCGGGGTCAGAAAGTAACTTGATATTCTCAGATTAGAGTTTTAAATTCAGCTCCATAGGAAATAATATAGGTTTAGAACCTAAGAAACCCGTTTTTTAGGTGATATCAAGGGTGTATTTTTGCTGGGTAAGTAGAATTCCCTGAGGTGACCTTGCTACTTCGATCCCTAAGAAATACTTGAGTTTGTCAAGGTCTTTGATGTGGAACCTTTGTTTGAGAAAATCTTTGAGCTTTGTAATGTGAGCCTCATTATTTCATGTGACAATGATATCATCAACGTACACTAGAACAACGGTGATAAACATGTCAGATTTGAAAATGAATAAGGAGTAATCTGCAGATGATTGTTTGAAACTAGCAGAAATAAGTGTATGTGAGAATATTTGAAACCAACACCGTGAGACCTGTTTCAGCCCATAGAGATATTTTCAAAGTCGACAGACTTTGTTATCCTTCTCTCGAGCAAACCCTGGTGGTATTGAGATATAAACTTCTTCATCTAAATCACCATGTAAGAAAGCGTAGTTGACATCAAATTGGTAGAGATTCTAATTTTTAGAGGCTACAACAGCAAGCAGTCCCGTGACTGTAACCTGCTTGGCGACGGGTGCAAAAATTTCATGATAGTCTAAACTTTCTTTTGGGGTGACCCTTTCGTAACCAATCGCGCCTACCGTTCGATGGTCCCTTCTGAGTTATACTTTATCTTGAATACCCATTTGCATCCAATGGGCTGTTTTCGAAGGGGTTGAACTTGTATGGTCAAGGTCTTGTTTAAAAATAAAAATAAAAATAAAAAAGTCAATTATTGGACACTCAAATCCAACTCAATGTCCTTTTTTATTTAAATACAGTGAGTTCATGATTTTCAAGTGGATTGCAAATTTTGAGATCTATAAATCCATTCGTGCCTGACTGAGTAGTCATACAATGTGATCTCCCGTGAGCATAACAGAGGACCTTCCGGAAAATATAAGAAATGACAGGTATTTGGGACGGGGTATTGGCCGAACGAGCGAATGAACAATTTGATCCCTCGAGAGTACGATCTCTTGGCGTCTCGCAAGGTCAAATCAGGACCCTTATTAGTTTGGGCGGGAATGGATCCCTCTCGCTCTGCAAGTTTGTTCACGGCTCTCTCTCCCTCTCTCGCTACAAGTGTCTTCACTACTCTCTCTCTCTCTCTCTCTCTTTCTCTCTCTCATCTGCGCAGATTGTTCTCTTTGTTTGAAGTTTCTGAAGGGCCTATGAGGGAAGGGATTAGGGTTTTGAATGTTGCAGAGAAGCCATCAGTGGCAAAGGCAGTTGCAGGCATTCTCTCTCAAGGCCGGCTTAGAGTGAGAGAGGGGAGATCGAGGTACAATAAGGTGTATGAGTTCGAGCATGCGATAAGGGGGCAACGATGTCACATGCTGTTTACCTCTGTTACAGGCCATCTCATGGAGATTGTTTTTCATGAGAGATACAAGAAATGGCATTCCTGTGACCCTGCTGACCTCTTCTCTGCCCCTATTCAAAAGCATGTACCCCAGGTCCGATTTCTCTCTCTCTCTCTCTAAAACCTCTCAGAACCCACCAATTTCTTTATTTTCTATTTATCTCAGAACAAAGTATACAATCTCTCTCTCTCTTAACTATGTGATTTCTCAATTCCTCTGATGAAGAAAACCCACTCTCCCTCGCTCTCTATTTCTCTCTCTCTCTGTGCTCTGTCTCTCTGCAAAGAGCCATGACTATAAATTCGCAGTACTCTGTCTAAGGAAGAAAATCCAGCAATTTTCCAATTCTCAGATGATGAAAACCCTGTGTTTCACCCTTTTCTTCTCAATCTATCTGTCTACAAAAAATGCAAACTATACATTCGGACCTGTCTGCGCAAGAAACATGTAAATAATCTCTCTTTGTTTCTCTCTCTCTCTGTGAGAAATCCATCTCTATTATCAGATAAATAGAGACAACAATCTCCCTCTCTCTCTCTCTCTCTCTCTCTCTCTCTCCATTGAGAAATGGAATGATTTGTTATGCTTTTTTTCAATGCAGGACAAACTGGACATCAAGCGAACTTTGGAAGAAGAGGCTAGGACGTGCCAGTGGCTTGTACTGTGGCTAGACTGCGATAGAGAAGGGGAAAACATCGCATTTGAAGTGGTCGAAGTTTGCACAACAGCAAACCGTAATCTTGACATATGGAGGGCTCATTTTTCAGCTTTAATTGACAGGTTCCTTAATGCATTTTCCTTTGCCTTCTTATTTACGCATTTTATGGGAGAAAGGCAATTTTCCAGCCATCTCTACTACAATATTGTTTGTCCTTAAGTTGTGATTTCTCCCTCTCGCTTCCATCAGGGAAATTCGTCATGCTGTGCAAAATCTGGGTCGGCCCAACCAGCTATTTTCTGATGCTGTTGATGCTAGGCAGGTTTGGGTTCACATAAACCTTAGTTCTTCATGTACCATCGTTTTTATTCCAATATTCTTTAAGTTCTTCTTATTCTGTTTTGTGTCTGATATAGTTAACTGTTGTCTATGTTGAAAAACGATGGCTTGTCTAAAAATTGTTTTATATTGCGTATTCCTATATTTTAACAAACCATCAGTCAATGGAATGATGCCTTCAACTGATGCTGCATACCCTACAAGGAGCTTATTGTCCTCTTTCAAGGATAGATGCAATTTTGGGTCACTTAGTTATTTGGGCTCTTATTAGTTTTTTCTGTTGTATCACCTATTTTTTGGTTATGTGGGGCACTGGATTCCTGATGGCTGTGATTTGTGATAGGAAATTGACCTTCGGATTGGTGCATCCTTCACCAGATTCCAGACTATGCTATTGAAAAATGCATTTGTGCTTAATATCAGTGACGATGATAAGAATGTCATTGTCAGTTATGGTCCTTGCCAGGTATGCTGATGATGTTATTCTCACATATATTTCGTGACCTATTCAAGCTACTGTACTCTGTTTAATGAATAATAAATTTCCGACCTTTAATTCTTGTTCCATTTAATAAGCCACAGGTTTTGCTCATTCCATTAGTTTAACTGATGTTTGATCCTTTAGCATGCCTAGTAAATGTTGCACTAACTTTGTTAAGACTGTATATGTACTGTATGTGAAATTAGGCATGAAATTGTTGTTAGACTCCACAATGGCTGACATAAAACCTCTATTTTTGAGAATCAGAATCATGATTAGTTACTCTTGAGCGCCCTTGTTAGTGGAAGGGGATTTTTGGAAAGTAATTTGACGGGCAAGGAATGTGAGAGATATGATCCTCAAAGTGCTTATGAAGTGGCAGGTTTTTCTCTATGATGGAGTGGAGGGCCGTTTTTGGCATCCCTCCTTACCATTTTCAGTTATATATAAAACTAAAACAACAATTACCTTCCATGAAAGTATGTGTCTGTTGTATTTGTTAAGAATATGAATTTAATGTATAATACATAAGTGTAGTCATTTTAAATGCTGTTTTGTGCCATATTGTCATGATCATCATAGTCAAGGACATAATTATACAATGTAATTATATGTACTTAAAAGAGAGAGGCACTGACTCCCCAAGTGAGATTAAGGGCACTCACTCCTTTCTCTTCAAGCTTTTCTATCATGGTATCAGGGAAGAGTGACAAGAGAAAGTGGAAAGAGTGATAAATGGTGTTGCAGAGCGGTGGGGCAAGAATGAGAGGGGTGAGAGAAGGGAAGAGTGATAAGAGAAGTTTAGGGCATCGGGGGGTGGGGGGGGGGGGGTTTACCTTTTTATTTATTTATTTATTTATTTTTTTGTCCCAATGTGAGGTGGCTCCCACACGGAACAATTATTTCCACCAGTTACCTTGTTTTTCTTTTGGAGAGGCGGGGTGGGGTGGGGGGGATGGGAAGGACCTAAGGTATCTCAATTCTGGGGTAGTGGGATGTTCCAGCCCCTCCATATCCTGTAGCACTCCACATTAACAAACATGGGAGTGGTACAGGAAATGACAAGTTTTGGCTCAAAATCAAATGCACTCACAGACGAACACAAGACCTACATAACACATAGACAAACTTTCTTCAAACACACTCGAGCTAAATGGAACTGCTTTTCAATGGGGTTTCTTTTCGTGGAATGGATGCATAGGCAGACATATGCGCATACATACATACAAACATATATAATGGGTTGTATACTATGAGACCATTTATCTTTCATACAAGGAGGTCACAATTACTCATAACCAGTAGATTCCAAATTGGATGGCTTGGAGTGTGTCACGAAGTTTGAGAATTTAATGGGTTGTATACTATGAGACCATTTACCTTTCATACAAGGAGGTCACAATTACTCATAACCAGTAGATTCCAAATTGGATGGCTTGGAGTGTGTCACGAAGTTTGAGAATTTTTTTTTGAATTTTGCGTCTAGTCAATGACATGTTCACAATCACCCAATTTAAAATCTAAAGGACAAGAGTGATTGTGACTTTTTTTTTAATAAAAGTAAATGGTCTCTTTGTATACTTTTCCTATATAAATACATACATGCACGATCTGTGTAAAGCCACAAACTTAGATTACCATCTGGGGACTACTACTTCAGAAAGACCTGCGAGTACGTTAAATACATTATAGAATGACATTCAGCAGCACAGAGCTTTATAATATGCCGCATTAACTTTTTTTTTTTCTTTTTTCTTTCTTATTTGCAGTTCCCAACTCTTGGATTTGTTGTTGAACGATATTGGGAGATACAAGCTCATGAGCCTGAGGAATTTTGGACAATCAATTGTTCTCATAAAACAGATGAAGGGATAGCTACATTCAATTGGACGTAATTCATCCTATTTGTTATTAAAAATTGGACTTAATTCATACTATCTGTTATTAAATATGGATGGCATGCTCTTATCTCCATACCCTAATTTACTCTTTGATTGCTGTGGGAAATTTACAGGCGTGGACACTTGTTTGATTACTCATGTGCCTTGATTATTTATGAGATGTGCGTGGAAGAACCTACAGCAACAGTAAGTGGGCTGTATTTGGGGCGTGTGCTTTTACATGATGGATTATAGTACTGAAACAGCATAATATGTGTTTTCCCAAAAATCATATTAAATTCTGGGGAACTACAGCATAATCAAATGGACTATGGAGAAATAACTTTCCATTTGAGAGATAGACGGTTATGGCAAAGGGTGGCACACCATAAGGTTCCTGTCTTGTTTTTGTCGGTCGTAGTGTATCTCTATATCAGGCCTTCATTTCAGCCGACCACAATGACCCAAAGGTTTTCCATATTCATACTATGCCCTGCCTACAATTTCCTGTTATGTAACTTTCTCACATGTATATTGTAGGTCAAGAAAGTCAGTCATCAGGAGAGGAGAAAGTATCCGCCACATCCTTTGAGTACACTTGAGCTCCAGAAACGTGCATCACAGTACTTTCGGATGAGTTCGGAGCACACTATGAAGGTGAGGATTATTTTATTTATTTACTATTATTCTTGTTCTGGTGGTGGTGGTGGTGGTTGGTGTAATTCTCAGGTGTTTTCAGTTATATGCATTCATGACTTATTATACATGCAAATCTTTTTTTATTGCTAAAAAGGTTGCAGAGGATCTCTACCAAGCTGGGTTCATCAGCTACCCTCGTACAGAGACTGATAGCTTCTCACCCAACACAGATTTGCAGGTTTTACACTCATTTGTTTCATGAGTGTGTTAGTTCTTTTGATAGAGAGATGAACTAAATTGGCTGCTTGGTTTCTGATTTGAAAGATTGCCTGTATGGAGCAACCTGTTCCTAATTTTAAATTTATTATATGGCTTGTTTGATGTGTAGGCACTTGTGAGAGAGCAACAAGGACATCCTGAATGGGGTTCTTATGCCCAACGTCTTTTATCTCCTGAAGGTCTTTGGAGAAATCCTAGTAGTGGGGGGCATGATGACAAAGCACATCCTCCTATTCATCCAACAAAATTTTCTGCAGGAGAATCAAGTTGGAGTCCAGATCACCATGTAGGTGAATCTTGTTTTGGGAAGGATATCGATGTACCCTTCATGGATATAAACAGCTCCCTAGAGCTTCCAATTTGAACAATTGAAGGCTGGGGATCTGTTTGTATCCATGCAGGATATAAACTGGTACTGAAGCATGCATTTCCTTTTGTTTTACATTTTCAACTAGGGCTCCAAAGCCATCGTGTTCGTATAAGATCTAGAGGTCTTTCTTGCTAAAAATAAGTCATTATATGTTTGGTTGTATTCCATTTTCTGATTTTATTGTAATATTGCTACTAGCGGTTGTACGAGCTTGTCGTTCGCCACTTTCTTGCTTGTGTCTCCCAGCCTGCGATTGGGGCTGGAACTACTGTTGAAATAGATATTGCTGGTGAAGTTTTTGTTGCATCAGGCCTCATGATTATAGAGGTAAGTGCTTTTTTGTCATAATTCATTCGATCAAATTGTGCCAGTTAATATTTGTTTTATTGGCAAATGTGTTTTTCCAGATAACAAGTTCGATAATATTTTTCTGTAGATAATATTGATATTTAGGTTAGGGCCGTGCGACTTGTGGAAGTTGGAGATGATGTGTTCCTCTGCCATTTGCACATAAGCAGAGGGATGTGGTTTCATTTCCTCATGGTGGAACTGGATACAATATATAGTATGTAATCAGTAATATTGTATGCTATATGATCCTTTTGTATTAAGGTAAACAAAAACGATTAACCTCACTGAGGGTATGACTCTAAATAGAGCAGATGGCAGGCTAGGATTCGTGTAGCTGACCCCAAATAGTTGGGAAACGACTTTGAAGATGATGATGATGAAACGAAAACCATTAAGATAAAGGTACAAGGAAAATGGCCATTAGAAAAAACATGCCAACCTTACTGACACAGCCTTGTCACTTTGATATTACTCCAAGCAAAGAGTACTCTAAAAAGCATACACTTGTGCATGCCAACAGATCCAGAAGCTGGTAATCTCACTGTGTGTGATTGTGGTAAATGGTGTTGCCAATGTTCTAATAATCTTTGATCTCGGAAAATGAAAATTTTGATTCTATAAGGTAGCTTGTGTTCTTTTTCCTGTTCGATGCTGTTAAACTTTTTAGTGTACTAGAAGTCTAAGAACTTGGCCACTTTTCAATCCATCTTGTACAAATTCGAAAAAGTTTTTTCCTTCTAAATTTACCAGCCCTGCAAGTTTAGGGTACCTTAAATACACTTTTGACCAATGTCGAGTCCCTTATCACTTCGACGGGATTCACATGGATTTTGCAATCCGCTGCATTCTTCTAAACTAACACCTACCAACCACTGCATATCGACAATTCCAAATCATTGTACCTAAAACTTCTTAGAACAAATTGAAACTCTTGCTTCTTACTTCTGAACATCATGTGAGGTTTCAAATTGACAACTCAACTGAAAGGTATTAAATGTTCCATCCTTGAGGATATGCATACCTGAAAAAAAAGAAGAGAAAAAACTGAATATCCTGCTATTCGTGATGGCTTCCAAATTCCATGACAACAGATAAAGAGATGCATGCAACCACCCAGAAGCATGCCAAATAGGCTAACAAATGCCTCTTTATTCTGGAAACACTGTTGGGACATCCTATAAAAGAAGAGTTCCTAGGGTCTGCAAACATTACGAGCTTTGACTCTTTCATGGGGATGCATAGACCCCAGCTACTCGTATAAAATGAAGAGGGGCTTACATTATGAATTCTCGTTTGTGGAACTGATATATTTTAAGACAAAAGAATGAAAATTGTAAAAAGGCAGATGCCCAAATACCTGGGCAGCCTTAAGGGAACGGGGTTGGGTAGGGGCCATATGTTGTTTTTTGTGTGTGTGTGTGTGTTTTGTGAATGTGCGTGTATGTGTTCAGTGTGTAGATGCTTGTGCACATATGTGTGTGCATGAGGTCTTGTATAAAATTCTTAAAGATCATCTTATTTTTCTCTTTTGGATCTATATTTGTGAGAGAGGTGTCTTGAACACTTGGAGGATATGTCAAGAGAGAGAGAGAGAGAAGGGCAATACTGGACTTTATTTTTGTTTGGGTGGATTTGAATATTTTTGTTTAGGGATGGCACTAGGTCGGCGCCCAAACTGCTTAAGCGCCTGCCCAGCCTAGGCTAGGTGGTTTGTTGGCCAGTCTGCTTAGGCTGCAAGGCGGTCGGATTTTCGTTCATTGATAAAAACAAAATAATATCAGTAAAAATTAAGTTTCAATGGTCTTGTTCGGTGGGTTTGTTCCTGCCAATGCGAGGAGCGGAAAATGCCTTTGGGTTTAATATTTGGAGGTTGGGAGTTTGGGAAGATCTGATTGCAATTACTTGCTTTGTTTTTCTAGCATCACCTTGTCTGAATATATTTTCTTTTGAAACAATTTTTTTTTTGGCTTAGAGTGCTCCTTTTTCTATTCTTAGGATATATTTTCCCAATGGTCCTAATTTGAAGAAAATGTGGTACCTTGTGAGATTTTTCAAGTTTTTGATCAAAAAGTTGTTGTCTACTGCAGAAAAATTACTTGGAGGTCTATCGGTTTGAGTCTTGGGGAGGATCAACGATTCCAACTTATGCTTTTGGGCAACAGGTTGTTTGCTTGTTCATATCATGCTGTTTTAGTTTTAAGTGACATCAAAGTGTTGTGCTGTTTTTACTTTATAACTTTTAACTAAAAATGACAGTGAAAGACCTGAAATACTTGTAGAGAAAATTCACCCTGTCGTGTAACTCACCTTCACTCCCACTCTACGAAAACTATCGCCACCTAATCCATAGAGGACAACCTGAAACATTCAAACATGCCCTTGTTACAAGGATTGTCCCCATTCCATTTTCTTTATAGTTTTTTGTGAATGTGACCATCAAAAGGCCTACGGCCATTTGGATTGGTCCTGAACAACATCTCAAATGTTATGTGTTTCTGTTGCAAATGTCGGAAATGGTTTCTCAAATGCCTATTGTCTCCGTATTTTTCTGTCCCAATCAATGGTTCCTCCGAGTATTCTTTCTAGCCTCCTGAGTTCTCGGCCCCTTATCCCATGTCCTTTTGTGATCATGGCCGATGTTTTCAGTAGGTCAATTAAAATACTTTACCATAAAGGGATGTCTGGTTTATCCTCCTCTTATCTAGGCATTATTAATTATTATCTCCCATTTTTGTATATACAATGACAATCATTTTTTGACATGCATCCCCTTAGTTGAGAATTTATGGCTCTTCTGTCATTGATCTGGACTTAGAGCGGTCCTATAGAACTTCTCTTTTAGTTTCATTAGTATTTGATGATCACATAAGATTCCGGAAGCATGAGTAGTCACACACCCATAAAGCATGGCCAGTTTCACAGCTGTCCCATAAAACTTCCCTTTCAGTTTCTTTCATTGGTATATGATGATTACATAAGACTCTGGAAGCACATCTCCACTTCATTCTTCCACTCTTCTTCTATGCGTGATATCTTCCTCAATCTCTCCATTCTTATGGACCCTCGACCCAAGAAATTGAAAGTAATATCTTTTAGGTACTTTTTGGCCACCAATCTTAACTAATTGCTTGCTTCTACTCCTATTTTTGCTAAACTTGCATTTCATATATTTTGTCTTAGTTTGGCTAATTTTAAAACCTTTTGATTCTAGAGCATCCCTCCAAAGTTTTAAGTTTGCTTTGACAATGTCTCTAGTCTCATCAATCAAAGTTATGTCCTCCGCAAACAATATACACCACGGTACCTCATCATGTAGATGCCTAGTTAATTCCTGATGGAGGCCTACTATTAATGAAAACTCACTTGTCTTTCCACTAATTGTCCTCACACTAATAAGCGCTCCCTCATACCTATCTCTCACTATGTCAATATATCATCTAAAGAATCCTTTCATTTCCAACACCTATCAAATTAACTCTCTAGATAGCCTATCGTATGCTTCTCTAAATAAGTAAAGACTATGTCAAAGTCTTTTCTATTCTTCTTGAACTTCTCATGACAATGAAAATATAAAATCTATAAATTTTTTAAATAGAGGTGGATAGTCAAGTAGACACAAGAAAACACATACGAGGATAATGTGTGGTACAGAAATATTGAAAGCGAGCAAAGCATTGATCCTAATTTTCAATAAAATAAAATCATGTTTTATGGAACGGGCCGGTATATTTAAGAAATTGTGTAGGTCATGTGATGAGTGATTTACCATGCATTAGAGCAATCGAGTTTGATTCCTATCTTGGATTTGATGACTGATCAGCCTTTTACGTAGGTCATATTGCTATATGTATTCATATTTCACTTCATCACTCAAATTTACTTAAAGCCATTAATGACCAGCTGTCAAATCTGAAGAGTAACAATTATTTTTGCAATTCTTTGGTTTAAAACTGTCGAAACCAGTGCTTCAAAACCTGGATCGGTGGGGTGGATCGTCCACCCCCTATATCGTTGTCGGATCCTTGGTCCGGATCTCTCCGAATCAGCAATCCAAAAATATTAGGGGGTGGACTGGGACGGTACCGGTACCTTTGAGAATTGATTCGGTCTCGGCCAATTCCCGATCTGGAATGGCAATTCCTGATCCTTATCGTGGGGTTTAAAACACTTATTGGGACTAAACCTCATATCAAATACTCATGACCATTGTTCTGTTTGTATGTGAAATAATTTACCTATTGGTTCTTTTGTCACTTATTAAAACTAATGCAAGGTATGTATATTCTTCTTGAATTTGCAGTTTATTCCAACAAGGTTGACACTTGATTCTAGTGTAACTAGACCCCCACCTCTTCTAAGTGAGTCTGATCTGTTGAGCTGTATGGACAAGGTGAAGAATGGATCATCAAATGCTAAGTTACATATTTGTTGTAGGGAAGTTGCATTTTTATAATAAGGATCTGCCTAATAGTTTTGTATTTTAATGGTTTTGATATTTGATTCTTGGTTTTGTTGTTTGTGACTATGGCTGGTAATGGGCCAGACGGAGTAGGGCTTGGGCCACTGCCGGCCCGGCTCAATTGGGTCGGGCCTCCTTTTTTTTCTTTTATTTTTTGTCATCTCTTTTTTTAGCCTAGCCCGGGCCCGGCACATTGCCACCCTTGTTTGTGATTTGAAAAGATGTAACAGTTTTCAACCTCTGAAATATGGTCCTCTATTTGTATTCTGTGATTGGTATACAGGCAGGTATCGGTACTGATGCAACAATGCATGATCATATAAAAAAGCTTCTTGATCGGTTTTATGCAATTAAGGATTCAAACACACGTTTCTCACCAACAACTTTGGTTAGCATTTCTGCTTATTTGTATTTCATATTTAGTAGTATAAACTCTTTCTTAATTGTATGTAAAACTGTTTTTGTGCACCTTTTTCTTGTTGTAAATTGGGCAGTGAAGTTATATCTTGATAGAAATGGTTCCGTTAGCATTCCTGACCATTTTGTTGGTTATAGGGAGAGGCATTGGTGATGGGTTATGATTGCATGGGGTACGTTCTTTCAGCAACTTTATTGATGTGTCTTCGTATATGTTATCTCAAATATAATATTTTTTTTGAAGAGATTGTGCTACATGTCAATGGGGACGCACTTTTGCCTTTTCTTGTGTTTGGATAAACATGTGAAATGTCATACATAGCTATTGATTGTCAAAGTATGCTCATTGCCCAATGATTTCTGATTTCTCCTGCTTTGATACTTCTTTTCCTTCTTTCAGTTTGTATCATTTCTATCATGGTGCTTTCAGTTACTGGCTGTGCACAATAACAAAAGTTGACGACATTTTGTTCAATAATATTAGCAAACTCTGTTGAATTCTTAAATCAGAATGCTTTATTTGTATTTTCTAATTTTTATACTTTTGATTGATGTTCTCACCATTAAACCTGACAGGTGGGATCTTTGGAAACCAAACCTGAGGTCAGCTATGGAGAGTGACATGAAAGCTGTTAGTGAGGGCAGAAAGACCAAATCTGAAGTACTTGCTTCTTGCTTACAGCAGATGAAAGATTGTTTCTTAGATGTAAGCTCATTTCAAATCCATTCCTTTTTTCAATATGCATTGCTAGTAAGCAGCCAATGTGTTGCACAGAAACTTAAAAGTCATTATTGAGTAGAGAATAAATAATAAAAATAAAATAATATTATGTAGTGTGAATAATGTCATAAATGTTTTCTAAGGCATACAAATTTAAAGAAATCATTTAAAGACAAAATTTAAAGATAATAGCAAGATCTGCTGATGGAGAGGGGAACTTAAAAATTAGTTATGAATTATTTTATATTAAGTTAAAATTTAAAGAAAATAGCAAGATCTGCTAATGGAGAGGGGAGCTTAAAACATTAGTTATAAATTATTTTTATATTAAGTTAAAATTTATGACAAAAAAATTATAGTTATTCAAAAGTCTTGAAAAATATGGTTAGTGCTTAAATAAAATATTATATGTAAAATGATATAATAATATTAGAAATTACAAATTTCTAACTACAAAATCTTAAAAAGCAGTCACATTTTTTATGACAACAATTATTAGTTAAAAGTCCTGTCAAAATAAATTTAAAAATTTAGAATAATTCATGATAAGAAATTAATAGCAAAGTGTTAAAGAATATACCAATATTTGAAAACGCGAAGCTAGCATACCTTGCAGTCCACTTCGATCAACACAACATATCATCCAAAAGAAACGGAATTAATTTTAATTTCAAAGATAATAAATTTTACAAAAATAAAACTAAATAGTTTTATAAAAAAATATATTAAAAAATTAATAGTAAATTTTTAGAGAAAACCCCGGCATTAAAAAATGTGAAACTATCATGCCTCACAATCCATTTACAAAATACATGGATAGGAATTACAAAATAAAATCAAAGTATAAATTACATTTCCACCAACTTGATTAGATATGCATATTTACTATAACACTCAATACTTAACAAAAAAACTCAAACTAATAAATTCAAAAATAAAAATTGGGATTGTCTACAAAGAGACCATTTTGTTTACAAAGAGACCATTTATCTTTTGTGCATGACGGTTTTAATCATTCTTGTCCTTTAAATTTTAAAATGGGTGGTTGTAAGAGTGTCATTGAGAGACACAAAGTTCCAAAAATAAAATCTCAAACTTCATAACTTATCCGAAGCCATCCAATTTGATATCTAATGAGTGAGAATAATTGTGACCTCCATGTATAAAAGGTAAACGGTCTCTTTATAGACTGCCATAAAAATTAGTGTTCATGACATACTTAAAAAATTCAAACAAAAAATTGTTCATTGCAATTATTAAATAATGATATTTAACTAAAAATGAGATGCAATTCGTTTTATTAAACTTATAGTAGACAAAACATCCCTTAAAAAACATAGAAGGCAAAGGAAAATATGAACCTAAGTAAAATAGTTTGAAAGATAATAGCACAAAAAAAATTGTTGAGAAAAGAATTGAAGCTACTAGGATAGGCACCAAGATCCATCAAAGTGGGCAGAGAGTTTTGCAAAGACTGTAGAAAGCAGAGAGTAGATAGAGAGGATAACAAAGAGTAGAGAGGATGAGAAAAGAGTGAGAAAATGAGGGATTGGGCACCGTTAATATAGGGGATTGGGAAATCTTGGTATCACACATCTTTTTAAATAGAGAGAGACACACTATTTCAAACAGAGAGATATGATTGAGTAAGGATAGATAGGTGAGATATGGGAGAGATGAATAGAGAGAGATGCATTTTTTTTTGGTAAATAGATGCACCTTTTCAAATCGAGTGAGATATGAGTGAGAAGGGACATAGAGATGAGAGATGAAAAATATTTAAGGAGATGAGGATAGTGAGATATTTTAGGAGCAAAATAAAGAAAATAAATAAAGAGATGGGAGAGCTTTAATGAGAGATTCACCTTTTCAAATTTTGAGAGAAAAAAAAAAATTGAAATTCAAAAAGAAAAATTTAATAAAAGAGATGGGATAGGTGAGTGAGATGAGAGATGGGAGACGTGCGTGAGATGAGAGACGGGAGTTTAAGGAGATGCACATTTTCAAAATTTGACAGAGGAAAAAGACTCATTATCAAAAAAAAAAAATTCTTAAAAGTAAAATTTAAGGAAAGAGATAGGATAGGCTATGAGATGTGAGAGTTTTGTGGGATGCACGTTTTCAAATATAAGAGATGAGAGAAGTGCGTGAGAGGAGAGATGAGAGAGTTTTAAGGAGAAATGCACCTTTTCAAATTTTGAAGGAGAAAAAACTTAGTAATTCAAAAAGAAAAATTAAAAAAAGAGATGGGAGAGGTGTGTGAGATGGGAGAGTTTTAAGGAGGGATGGGCCTTTTCAAATTTTAAGAGACACATGTCATAAATAAACGAGGTCCTCTCGCTTAATATATATAGTAGATATAGTACTAATGTTGGTCATATTTGTTGTTGTTTCTTGCTTCATTATTGGATATATAATTGGATTTTCAAATTTAAACACATTCAACCTGGCGTTGTTCATTTTAAACAAATTGTCTTATTTAGAAGAGCCCTTTAAGTTGGCTAAAGTATTAGCCATTATAAATTGTCCTCGGACACCCTAGAGCCATAGTCAGTCCACTCAATACCCAAAACCCTAATGCCCTATTAACTCCTGTCACCGTTAAGCAGCTGCTATATGATCGCCCTGTTCACAATTGGCTCTCTCTCTCTCTAAAGCTGGAACACTCGTGGAGTTTTATCTCCTTGAGAAAACTGTTCTTCAGCATCCCAAATTCCTTTTTTTGTTGAGAACAATCCTTGATTTCTTTTAATTATCTAGAGAACCATCACTAATATACCAAATATATATTTCCATTTAGTTCAGAAGCCAATCGTTGTTTTTTCCATGGCTACAGTTTGATCAGGTTCACTTCCATCTGATTGGAATTTAGTTGGATGGGTTGATTTTGGATTCCCATCAATGTGGCCCAACTATCTCCCAAGCAAAACATTTGGTTTGATCAAGATCATGGCAAATAATTCGCCCTATTTGACTTGGCAGAAGTAATAGCAATACTGAGATTATCGAGTTGCACATCCTAAAAGTGAATTTTTTAGTCTTCATTTGCCATAGCTTATGGGATACACAGATCGAGATGAGAAACAACTGACGATATATTAAAGGATTTGGACTGAGTTTCAAGTTGCTAGAGAACTCATTTGAATGCGAAATAATGATCTCTCAAGAAATATCAAGAAAATATGTACACATGAAACAGCAATGAAACTAAGACTACCTCTTATAGATTTAATCTTCAAACAGCCTAAAAAAGAGATAGATCGGGTTGGGGTCCTAAAAAAAATGGATTATTGTGAAGTTTTTTATTTTATTTTTTATTTTTTTAAGCAAGTAGAAGGAAAACTAAATACACCCTAATTTGTGGGCTGAAACAATTCAGATCCACAACATTTGACTCTCTGTGGCTCAAAATATATTTTAGGCATGATATCCTCAGCCAAATCCACCACAAATTATACACTTTTATTGGATATTTTCAAGCCTTTAGCAAGAGATTTTGTAAAAATAGAAAGCCACGAGAAAATGCTTGGATCTAGTTAAAAAACTTTAAATCATACCTGAACCCCTTTAATATGGGTGTCAAATCTCTGCTTGAGAAGCCGAGTAAATGCCCTCAAGAAATTGCAGGTTCTGACACATCCGTATGGATAATGTCATCTCTGTATACATGAAGATGTCATCCTCAATCATGCAGGAAGAGTACTTGATCTCCCTCTGCTACATTGTTATCAAGATGTAAAGCATCTATTGGATTGGTTGCTCCTTTGATATGATAAATCTTGACATCTTTCACACTGTAGGTTTTTACAATGCAGAGAAAGTAAGAGATTATAGAAATTGAAAAATGGACCAAGTTGCAATCCACTTGGATATTATTAGAATAAATATGTGATATAGTTACATGTTTGCCTTCTGTTCATTTACAGTTGTTCCAATGTCTCCTTGGATTGCATTGAGACTCTCGGTTCTCCATTATATGGCATGCTCGACGGACTGTAGATAACACTATCTTGTACAGAAATGTTGCTAAGAGCCACAAACACGTTCTTATTGGTAATCTTTTTCTGGATATATAATAGATCAGTAAAAAAAAAAGAACATAAAGTCTAGGTACTGAAAAGTATTAGGCCTAATACACACTTCCAATCTAGTAAACAAATTGCCTTCCTTTTAGGCTTTTTTCTCCTTATTTGGTTATATAATTATAAGGGTAATTTAATTCTTATTCATTTTCGTACATGACAGGAAGTGGATTTTCCCCTGCAAAGGCTACTATTCTCACTGCTTTGGTTCCATTTCATTATAGTGTCACGAACAGGATATATGGTTGACTTTTATGTCCTCATGTATCCTATTAAAGAGTCATAAGTCAATAATGTAATGAAGGTTATCAAATGCGGGATGCTGACTCAATGCACTGGGGGGGTCCGATACATTATTTAGACAATTATGTCATTTAATTCTCTTCTATTTATTATCTTATGAGTGAATTTTAGCAGGAACTTTTGTTGCTCCTTTGACAATCTTGTGCCCTGTACTTTTACTTAGAAATTATGTTTACTTGTTCAGTTTCCATGTTATGTCATTGAATAAGAGGAAATTGGCATTCTAAATGCCTTTGCAGGTGAAGTCACACAAGGCAAAACTGTTTGAAACAATGGGGATCTTCTTTGAAAGGTGGTAGTTTCTCTAATCAAGGAAGTCAAATAGTACATACATATCAATTTCATCATTGATCGATTTGCATTGTTTGATACAGATCCAACACACCCGGCGGAGATAACCTGCATCTGGCTGGAGGAAAAGTTCGCTCTTGCCAGCAGTGCCAGGAATCTGAAATGGTGCTCAGGAGAAGACCTGTAAAGTCACTGTCCTATCCTTCATAACCCGGAGAGATCTTACTTGCACATAATTTATCATAAACAAAATCATGTATTGTCTTTCGCATTCCTGAGAATTTGAGATAGTATTTTACAAGTATGCTCATTTTTGTGTTTTGAATTCCAGTATATGAGATTAATAGGAACTAATTATGAATGTCTTCTGTAGCTTGACACTAGATAGTTTTTGTATAGTGTTCATCTTCTTGACGTATGTCAAACTTTGACCTCATTCTTGCAGTAGTTTCTTCCCTGTCTAGCTGATTGTTGTTATGCGTGCTTGTTTAGATGCTGAATTGGGTCAATAGTTTAGGCAGCTCTGTCAGAGTGTAGTATGAGTTCACCCACAAAAATGTGTGTAAAAATGAAACAATGTTTGTGATTATATGCATCATAATGAATGAGTCAGCCTAGTGTATCTTTCGATTGGGAACCTAGTGCCTATGTTCAGAGTATTCTAAGCATAAATTAAGTCACTACTAATGATTTAGCTTTGTAAATCATTTGTTTTTTTTATTCTTTTTTTAATTGAAAAAGCTATGCACTAGACCATGAATGAATTTTTACTCTTAACTAGGAAGAGGATGTCGGCAATGCAAGCTGGAAAAAGCAACTAAGACGTCTCAACCCATTTCTTTTTATGTTATATTGTATCTTACTAGAAATAGATAAATTTTCCCTTTTAGAGCATTCAACTTCATCTGCAGATTGCAGTTAGTAGGGTTTTACTCTTGGTCATAATACATGTGGGAATGATCACTCCCCTAAGAGGTAAGAGGTGATCCAGGATGCATGGCGTTACACGGGATTTTTAACTTTTAAAACAAGAAGCTTTTTGAGGGTTAGACTTTGGGATCTCAAAATTAAATATTTCCTTTAAGGTTCCTTTGTTTGGCCCCAAGAGCTTTTGTGGGCCCCTTATTTTAAATAGTAAAATGACTTCATGTTTATTCAAAGATAAATGTTAAATCTGCCCCTTTTGTGTCTCAATGAGTTAGCTGAGTCAAAGTAATACTTGGTCAATTCTCACTTCGACTCTGGCTTTTCTACATTAACCACAAATTTTAGCATAGTTACTTCTCTCTTATTACTAAGACGACTGGATTGAAGTTGGCTCAGCTGAGATGCACTTTTGGATCACTTATTTTGTCATTTGTGCTGATCCCAACATGTTGTT